GAAATAGATGGCTGGAGCTTAGGCCCTAACAAGCTGCCCTTGGGGTACCAAGGAGCAACAAGAGCTGTTCACGCTGGGCAGGAGCGGGTCTGTGCCGGGCCAGCGGAAGAAGCTGGTGGCTTTCCGACAAAGGGGCTTACGACAGCCCTGGTGCCAGGACAAGTGGTAAAAGGGACAGCCTCGTGGTACACAGGCCACACCTGGCCTGTTAATGTCTTAATGGTTTCCTGCACAATAAACAGGTCTCAGCTCAGAGTTATTGAAAACAGGCTTTCGTTAATTAACAAAATACAGCCAGACAGGGAAAAAGACTAGAGCTCAAAGCCTGAGGCTACAGCACCAACAGCTGACACCTGTGCTGTACCAGTCACCCAGAAGTCACCACAAGGTGGGAAACATGGGGCTCCTGGTGCTTAGCCCCCTGCTGGCACAGCGACAGTTGCCCCGGGGGGGAGCACAGGCCTGGAGCTGAAGGGCCCTGCAGGCTGAGGGTCCCAGGCTGACCTCATTCTTACTGGGTGCAGCCCACGGGCACCCAGGCCACACCAAGAGGGGCCAAAGAGATCCGTGCAGCTGAGCCCAGCGAGAGGCCTCCGCTGCCCTGGGGTGGGGACAGGGCCACAGGCTCAGCCAGGTCTGCCAAGGCAGCTCATTTGCCCTGAAAGCTAAGTTAGCTCACCCAAACAAGGATGGGAAGCCACAGCACCCAGCCATGCCTCCTGGCCAGCACAGGAAGCACCTCCAGAGAAGGCGTGCTGACCACAGCCCAGGCAGGTCCGTGGCTGTGCCTCGAGGGCCAGGAAGGCCCTGGGCTCTGCATCCCTGTTGGTAGCTGTGAATGTCCTCACGTGACCCACATGCCACAGCTGATCCAGGCCACGTTAGTGGCCCCAGCGCCCCGGCACGGCACTAAGTTCTGCCCTGCGACCTTTGCCTATTTTAATGTGAAGAACAGATTCTGCCACCAGTCTTTCCTACCCTCCCTGGCACCTCTTTTTGTGGTCTGAGGAGCGCAGGGCTGTCTCGGACTGACACATTTCTCTGATTGTGACACTGTGCACCTGGCCTCCTGGGGATGCTGAGAGGTAGCCGCGCGTGGGGGCCTGCGTGTCACTGAGGGGTATGCATCCCCCACTGCTTCCTCGGGAGCCTGGTGACCATGTCCTGGAAAATAGCTCCCAAACTGCTCGCTGTGAGGCGCACACGCCGAGCCGCCTAGCACCACAGAGGTGCCCATACCGCCTGGGCTTCCTCCTTGTGGTGGCTTGTAACGTGAGGGCTGTGTGGACCCCAGAAGCCTGGCAGAAAGGGAGGTGAACCTGCATGGGGCTGTAAGTTGAGGAGTGGGATAGGCAGTCCGCTCCCTATACACTGTGAAGTGGGCAGAAGTTCGCTGCAATAGTTAAATGAAATTTTATAAGCACGTTCGGCAGTGGAGCTGTTTTGCATTACATGAGGTGAATGCTTCGAGACGCCACATCTGCAGGCACTTTATTAAATCCTTACTCAGCACTTTCCGACCTGATGAGATTACTTCTTCATCCGACTGGAGAGCAGGAAAACGGAGCTCTGGTCCTGGGCTGCGCGTTGCTTTTGATGTTTCACCTTGAGCACTGGAGACGCTGCCCCCCCACACACCGCACACACCCTGCCGGAGACCTCGCTGGAGCTAATTGCGCCCAGCCGGCCGGCCGTGGGAGGGACTGCAGCCAGGGCCCTGCGGAAAAGAGATCAAAGCTCCGTGTTTACTTCCTTAATGTAAATGTCCCAAGATCACATCATCAGATACCGCAGTGGTATTGCAGCTCCCGCGCATGGGACAGGGGCTCTTTTGTAATCCTTGGGCTACAGCAGGGTGGATTTAGGGGCTCTAAGTAGGAAGGCAGAAACCGTATGACACCCGAGCCGCTGTCAGTACCCCTCTGAGGTCTACTTCTTGATGCTCCTTAAGGGAGCTGCGTTTTGTGTGCCAGCGTTTTCCCAGCAACTTACTGTCCCCCCTCAACTGAACCGTCTCACATCTCACTTCTGTTTTTCTGGCATAGCCCAGGAAGGACTATGCGCACTCATGCTTGAATGAATGTTTTGGAACTTGTACTGTTTGTGTAGCAGAGGCGGAGAGGGAAGGGGCTTTCCTGCTCGGTAGCCCGGGGCAGTGGCCACCCTGAGCAGTGGCGAGGCTGCCCGGCACAGGCCGGCACACACCTCCTCACAGGCTCGCAAACAGCAGCTCCAGGTGGGGGCGAGACCAGATGGCTGGGTGGTGTAGTGCAGCGCTCGCTAGAACTCGTCAGCTACCTCTGCAGATGACTTAGCCAAAGCAACCTCATTCGAGGAAAAATAATCCTCCGTAGGGTTCCCTGACTGACGTCGCCTCCTGGAAAGTCCTGGGCGAGTAGCTGGGTTATTGTCACGAAGATTAGTGTGGTATTGAAATAAGTGCTAATGGTCAGATTACAGGAGTGAAAAAGGAGAAGAATAGTGTGGGTTGGGCCTGAAAGGGTTAATTAGGGTTTTTTCACGGGTTAATAAAGCCCCCCAACCCCTGCCTTGGGAGTCACATTGACACCCGCCCGGGACAGCCCTGCCTCTATTGAGGCCTTGCTGGTCAGAGCACAATGGGCCTCTGTGTCCGCACATCCTTGCTAAAATCATCTCAAGGAAAGAGAGTTCGCAAGTCTCAGCCCAGACAAAAGCCCAAGAGTTACAGTGCGCAGCTCAAAAACCCGGAGTCAGCAACTTCTATTGATTAAAAACTAACCTTTAAAGTAACTCTGCAAGTGTGTGGTTAGCATTTAAATTTAAACATGCCACGAGTTGATTTGTGTTGCTGAATACCAACTCCGAAGGAGTAACATTCACAGCGCATTTTTTTTGTAATTCCCCTAAGCAGCTAAAGTATTTCATGAAATGTCAAGAGGGCAGCAGGAAGAGGCGAGGGGCCAGGCTGGACCCTGCAGTTTTCTTTCCCATGCAAATACGCACCCCCAAAGGAAAGTGTGCAGGGTGAAACACAATAATTAGTCCTTTGTCTAACTTTCCCAAGTGCCAGGGAAAGACAGATTAATTACATGTACAACAGTGTTGGTTTTCGGAGTGGGGGTCCTGCTTGCTCCGTAAGCCATAAATTAGGCAGAATAAATACTTCAGTGTGTTTGCAGTGGGCCTGCTACGTCAGAACCATGGAAGGCTGGTGGGAGGAGAGCGAGGGCTTCTTGCTAATGATAGTCACGTCTGGGTCTGTCTGGTTGCTCGTAGCAACCAGACATGATGTAACACCAGGATGAACTTGAACTTGGGGGACTTGAAAAGGGAACAATAGACCAGAGCAATCAATAAAGCCTATTTCAGTGAAGGATTACAGCGCTGCTCTGGGTAACCTTGCCGGCAAGGCACATACTGAATAGTAAGATGTGTGAAGAAACTTTTTTTCTCTTGCTTTGCTTTTTAAAAGAAGTGCAGAGGCACTGCAGATTTTCGTGGTGCCCTGAGGTCTGGTCCAGACGTGCAGCTGTGGAGAACTGCTCCCCCTGCCGACTCCCTGAGGCCACCCTCCTGGGCGTGCACAGGAAGTCCGGAGTTCACCACCGTGGGGAAGTCAGGCTACATCTGCTGCAGAAAGGGGGCGAGCCACCTGGGCGCACCGGTCCTCCGGGCTGGAGCCTCGCTGCAGGTGTGGGCTGAGTGCAGGCCCGCGCCTGCTCCTCCGCCAGCTCCCTCACCGCTCTGTGGTGCCCTTAGAGCCAGTGTGCCGCTCCCCACACAGTTTCCTGCAGGACAGAAGCTGTATCATGAGGCCCAAGCAGGAGGTCCGAGAGGAACATCGGAAAGGCCTCTCAGCTTGGGCTAGGGTTTTTGGCTCCTCTGGAAATCAGAGGTGGCTGGTGTGGCTGGGAAATCCTACCCCAACCTCTTTGGAACTGCCACTGATCCCAGATCAAACAGCTCTTACTTCCTAAGTAAATCTCAGGGACAAGGACAAGCCAGCCCTTCACAGGGTCAAGCAGGGCACAGCTCTTTCTGACACGGTGACTCAGGCCCCACTTGGGGAGGGGGCCTGACATGCCCGTGACCAACACAAGTGCAGTGGTTTATCAACATAGCCCGCGCAAAGCGGGCAGAAGCCACACACTTCTTACTCTCAGCTGGGGAACTGGTGCTCGCCCATGCTTAGACATGTTTACCTGGCTTTGTTTCTTTGCTGTCAAGGAAAGGCCAGCAGATGAAGCAGTGTATGACCAATGGTGTCCAGGCCCAGCACCTGTGCTGGTGAGAGGAGGTGACCGGGCCTGCAAACATGTGGAGACCACAGGACAGCTGGGTGCCCTCAGAATTCTGGGGATCCCTAAGGGGAAGGCTGGCTGCTTCCTGATTGTTGGGTACCATTTCCAGAAATAATACTTTAGAAATACTGAGCTGAACACGACGTCATTGTGTCCCAAGCCCAGCTCTCAAGAGTGACCACCCGCAGTCACCTGGGCAGGTGCCTCACCAGCCCTGCCCGCCTTGGGCTGCGCTGGTCCTCATGGGCTCACTGGGGACCATGTCTTCCTGTCACTGAAGCAGTCCTGCAGTCACACATTCAGCCGGAATCCCTCGTTTCATGGGATGCTGTAGAGCCCTCAGAGTGGCTACTGGCTGCAATGCCAAAGGGCCCCCGAGGGCTGGCGGCAAGCAAGCCCCCAGGCTCCAGGCCCAGACTTGTGTTTCCAGCGGGTGGAAATGCCACTCCATGCTGCCGGCGCCAGGACACCGGCACAGCCCCGTGACCGCAGCACCCACTCTAGAGGAGCAGCCCACCTACACAGCTGCTGTTGTCCCTTCGCTTCGTCTGGTGGGCCCCGATGTGGGCTCTGACTCCATGGCTGGAAGGGCTCCTTCTGAAACGTGCTAGATTTTTCTAAGAAGTTGGACTGTATTTTTAGCAGTGCTAAGGACTGCACTTGGAAACTTGTCCATGCGTGACCACACTCTTAACACACTTTCCCCTTGTCTTCCAGTCCTGGTACCTGGGATAAAAGTCGCAGCGTCCCACCACCGACCAGACAGACCACCTGACCCCTTCTCAACTCTGTAACCTGGACGCAACCTCAGCCCCGCGGCTACAACTTCACTGTCAGCGGAGGGGAGAAAACACCGATTCAGACCCACCTGTACATGGAAACAGCAAGCATTATGGTCAAACAGCAAAGGCCATAACCTTTCGGGATTTTTTTTAAATACTTTAGGGACTGTCGCAATTCCTCATATGGTGCTGGAAATGGCTGGGCCTCGTAGCATGCGAATGTTGGCGTGAGCTTAGGAGCCGTGGCTGGCCGAGCCCGCTCCCCGCCTCGTGCCGCAGCACCCCAGAGCCCGCTGTTTCACAGTATTTCATGAATTCGCCCACGTGGTGTGGCCTCCTCGAGCAGGCAGGAGGCGCACGGAGAACTAAACCTTTCGTAGTAGCTGAGATCTGCAATCTGTACTTACGGGACAGTCAAAGGGCGCTGTTTCTGTAACATATTGGAAAAAGAGAATGAGTTCTGCTCCTTTCCTATTTTCTTTCAGTTTGGTTTGGTTCAGCCGTCAGCAGTTCAGCCCATACCATGGCCCGCAAGGACAGTGAGTCCGCTCACACTGCAGAACGATTTCGAAAATGGCAAACTACTACTACTGTTCAGTTTTTTAAAAGTTTTAAAATGCTGCACTTACATTTAAAAAAAGAACAACATTTTTTTCAACAATTTCAACAGTGACACAAAAATTCACAAGGAAATGGGGAAGATGGTCTGTTTTGATAGCAACTGACAGGAAACGATCGAAACAATCGAATTCTGAGTTGAGTGAAGTGCAATTTCATTGGATAGCTGAGTATCTTTGTAAGATAGAGATTGTTGGAAATTCTATTTTTGTTTTTCAAGTCCTCCCACCCCAGGACTCTAAATTATTGGGGTAAAAAACAGCCTTGCAAGAAAAAGGGGAGCTATTTTTGCTTTTTATGTTTTTTATTGTTAAACTTGTATCCCTTTAAAAACTGAAGGAAAATTTAAAAAAAAAAAAAACAAAAAACAAATCTAATGGTGCTTTTACCACAATATGTTAACTACATTAAATGCTAATTAATTATTTTCTGTTATCAAAGCACATAACTAAAATGAAATCATGGTATCTGTTAATTTCATAAGCTAGACGTCACTGTCACGCATTACGCCAACTCTGACAAATTCTGCATGTGTCTGGCAGCAGGGTTCACCAGTCATCCGCGCCTCGCCCCCAGAGCTGGTCCAGGATCTCGAAGGCCTTCGCGCCCCTGAACTGGGCTGTGGGAAACGGCGACGGTGACGTGAAGCCAGCACTGACACACAGCGGCGGCGCCCGCTCAGGTCAAGGGTACTCGTTAGGGAATAAAAGATAGTTTGCACCCCAAATGTCCTGTATCTTATGTTTAAAAAAAGGAAAAAAAAAAGCAGAAACAAAAAAAAAAAAAATTGCAAGTCATTTTTCTACCAGACAGCGAAGCTTCCCTTTGCTTCTCACGCAGCCTGGAGGTTCCCTATGCTATGCATATATACGCGTCCTGCGGCGGCCGCGCCGGCCCGAGGGAGTCTGCATGCTCTAGTGTTAGTGACTAATTTTTATATAGTTAATGTAGGCTAAAGTAGAGTGCGTTAAGACACAATATTGTAACCCTCCTCTAGGCACTTGCCTTTAAACTATGTTTTCCAGCCCTTCAGAAGGGCCCTACTGCTGTCCTATACAATCAAGCAACTGAAGTCCTCGGGAAGTCACTTTGCTCCTCACCCCCCCCAGCAATGTTGTTTTGTTTTGTTTTGTTTTTCCTTAATTTGCACGAAAACAAAAATTCCATATCAATGTGCCTTGCCCTGGATAGCAATTATTTGTGGAATTGTTGCACATGCTCCTCTGTTGAAAGGGGTTTCCCTGTCAAGCATTTGGAGACACTTTTTGTAAATGTGACTTTTATGTCAGCCACCGTTGGTTTCAACACCTAGAACTGAGTAGACAGTTAGTTGTCCGCAGATAGGAGTAGTCTCTATTGTCTGGTGTGGTCAGTGGCAGTGCTATTCTGAGATCTGTAGAGGCTTAGAGTGTCCGTATTTTGGATGTTGCTGCATTTTACGATTTATTTGGAGTCTTCCTTTCTTTTTCCCCCAGATGTATGAAAATATGCAATACCTGCTTATATCATGTAGAGAAGCTTAGCGATGATTAATTTTTCTTTTATTTTTTTAATTTGACCAAAGTCAGTACTGCACTTGACGCAGTGTGTGTAGGTGTTTGTCTTTGTACTTTTCTGTGAGTTTTGAATGCACGTGCGCAGGAAGGGCTCCTCTGAGAGGGCAGTCAAACTGTGAAGCACTAAGCTGACCCTGCTTCAAGCAACTTTGGTTTTACAACTGTTCCTTTCACAAGCAAGCCTTAAAAAGACAACCCCTTTCCTTCAGCTCCCACGCCCCATTTTTTCTTAGCAGACTGCAGTCAACCCACATTCAATGAAAAGTATATGATGCCCATTTTTATATGCACGTTTTTAAACTTCCAAGTTCTGAAAATTGTTTACTGGTTATCTCTATTTAAGGAAAAATAATAAAATAAAGCATTTTGGATTTTCCTACGTGTCTGGTAAGTGGTTGAAGAGTCGTTTGGCGCTGTTGTACGGTGTGATTGTCAGCGTCCGTGTCCCTTCCCTAGCCAGCAGACTCTGCCTTCCCCAACAGCACCTAGCTGGGCATTACCTTCTGATGACATATGTGCACTAAAAAGAAAAAAGTAGAGAAAAAAAGAGGGAAAAAAAAGCAGCTTTCAGTGCTTCACAGTGAAGGGAAAAAAGCCGAGACAGACATTTTGTCAGAGCCTTGCAATAGGCCAAGGTCTTACCAGGAAATTGGTTGTATATACAATAAAATTGCACCCTTTTTTAAGCAAAACAAACTAAGCAATAGTTTGGGCAGTTTTAGTTGTTTTTAGTGAGCATGTTGTACTAATGGCTGCAAAGAGAGGGTAAGCTGCCCACTGAGAAGATACGTAATTTGTATTGTTGTATAGTTTTATTGATTACACTGATTTATTCTACCCTATTTTATAATGCAGGACTTTTGTAATGTTGTTTAAATGAGGAAAATTTTCTGTCAAATTAGACTAGTGAAACTTCTGATTGTTCATTATAAAGCAGCATTCATAGAATTGCTTTATTTTTTCTCCCCTGTGGGAACTGGATTTAAGTTTAAAACTTTCCTGTTTCCTTTTTTGTGTAAGTATTTAAATACAGTTATTTCTTCTCCCAATGGTATAGCCTATGCTTGAGAAGTATAGGTCTGCTGAGAAACCATTGTAAATGGGTGTTACAGGTATGCTGTATTTTTGAAGGTATTTTGTTGTATTAAGTTTGATGAAGCTAAAATTAGGGAACTCTGAACAGATTTGCAGGAAGAGATGTTTTAAAGGCTTTAAAGCAAGAGGGAGGCAGTCTAGGGTGGCGGCAGACGGGTTAAGTATTAACCACACCAAGTTACCTTTCTGTTCCCTTGGACCATCCCGAAAGCAGCAGGAAACTGTGGTTCAGTCGTGCTCAGCAGGAGCAAAGCAACACCAGTCTTTGAGTGCTTGGCCTTCTAAGGCTAAGAGCCGAGCAAAAACACTGGAGGAAGACTGTGCTCCTGGGTGTGGACAGGCCAGAGAAGCCACACATGCAGGCCCAGCCCCTGCCGCTGGGACCCGGGAGCCTCTGTCCCATCAGATGGCACTAACAAGATTGGCAGAGGGCCCGTCCAGGGCTCTCCACATTTTGTTCTTTGGCAACTGAAGTCCCAAGGCACAAACACTAACTCTCCCACTCTCGGCTCCTCTGCAGGCCGGGGTACCCCTCGCCATCCCTCCCCACTGCACACTGCCCTCCCTTGGCCTTCTTGCCCCTAAGGTTTCGGTTTCTTTGCTCCTTGACAGGACAGCCATTTATCATCAGGCTCTGTCGACAAGTTCAACACAGCCCACGGGCACAAGGCCACGCTTGTCCTGAAGGTGTGCTGCCCCTTCCTCCCCTGTGGAGCATGTCATAGAGTCAGCCAGCCCTCAGGAGGGGCCGTGCCCATGCCCTCAGCCCTTAAGCCCTGGCCCCTCGTGCTGTGGATTCTGTGGACCTGGGCCAGAAAGTATTTGTGAAACCTGAGCAAAGAGAACATTTCTCAAAGTCTGTGGGCTGCCCGAGGTGCCCTTCAGGGTCTCTGTCCCACCTCCAGCCTCCCCACCCCCAGTGCTGCTCCTGCTCTCCTCCTCCTGTGAGTCTCTATCCCTCTGCCTGCCACTGCTTTCTCTCCTTTCTTCCCGGACGTTGGTCGAAGGCCTCCTTAGAACAGTCAGATGCAGCGGACAGTGGTGCAGGCCCAGCCTCTGGCACCTCCTGCCACCCTGGCCTGGCCTTGCCAGGCAGCGCCCAGGTCCCCAGCTACCTTGTCACGAAGCACGTGTGACCCTCCGCACGCCCGCCCCACATCCCCGGCCGGAGGCTGCGCACCCGGCTCATCAGCATCCTGGGTGTCCCCTTTCTTTTCCCAGTAAGAACCGCAGTGGGATGAAAATTGCTCTGCTCTGCAGCAGGTACCATTGAAGCTGCCCATAGCACTTAACTGTAGTGAATACTGCGTCACCAACTCTGAAAGCAACCTAATGTTTAATGCAAATCCATTACATGGTGCTATTACAGGCTGACAAAATGATTTACACAAATGTGACAACTTGGGCTCAATTCACTTTGCTTTCCAACAGTACATGCATAGCAGTGTTTATCTGCATGAGAACTATGCACTAATCTATCTGAAGAAAACTATATCGACTTTGGTATCTACTTTCCGTTTACTTCAATCCTTGCCTTTTTGGTCATTGGTATAATGCCAGCTTTAGGACAGAAAGAATTATAAGAAAACCAGCATAATACCTGATATATTAAAATGTAGTGCCTGTGGAATCTGTATTATATTGCTCTTCTGAAGTAAGACTTTTCTACACCGGTAGCCTTCGCTGTCTGTCGGTCAGGACCTCTGGTATAGGTGATGTAAAGTAACCGTACAATATTAATGCATGCTCGCCATATGCTTAGTGAACTGTATGAATATTACTCAGAGTTATGTTAGTCTTCTTTTCTGACTTGGTTCTTGTCAGCTAGGTTTAAAGGCATTTTCACTGAGGACAAAAATTCTGTCTCCTTGATTTCCGGTGTTTTCAGTATTTTGGAGGTATACATTTACTTAAATTCAGTATTACTTGTGTTTCGTTTTTGGTTTTTTGTTTTGTTTTCTTTTTCCTAGGGGGCAAGCATGGGTGTTTGATTTCAGAAATCAGTACCTGGTGAGATTTTGGTCTCAAAACTACATTGGACTTGCAGAACTCTGCCACCAAGCCTCTCTGAGGACATTCCCAGGAGCAGCAGCTGCCCCGACAGCCTCCTGGGACACAGGTCGGCCAGGGACGGCTGGCGGCTCACACCAGGCTCGTCGTGTTGGGGAAAGAGAAAACTGAGGAACCACCAGGCTGCCGGTTTCAGGCACAATTGCAATATTTCCTTCAAAAGTAAAACTGTACAAACTCTGGGCCCGGTTCATAAGCAAAAGTTTGTTATTAACACGGAATTTTTTGATACACTTTTTTTGGTCTAAATTTGAAACTATTCCCTGCCCAAGTTAAATCAACTATTATTATTATTATTATTATTATTATTATTATTATTATTCCTTCTTCTCCTCCTTCTCCTTCTCCTTCTTCTTCTTCTATATGTAGTTGGTACAGGGTCTCACTATGCAGTTCAGACTCATAGTGATCCTCCTGTTTGCAGCCTCCCCAGTGCTGGGATTATAGGTGTGCGCCACCATGCCCAGTCTTGGTGGCCAGCTCAGCGTGCGTGGCCTGTGGTGCCGGGGATCGAAGCCCGGTCCCTATGCTTGCCTAAGCAGGTACTTAGTCTGCTGAGCTATCTTGATGGCCCTCTTCTTTTTTCCTAACCCTAGGCCAGCACCCATCTGCCTTTGATTCCTCAAAGGGTTATGTTAATCAGGTTGCAGGGCCCAGGCTTGGTGTAGGGGTGACAGCCCACAGGGCAGGGCCTCCTCCAGAGGCCTGGACCCCCAAGTGCATATGTACCCTCAGTGTGCCATTTGGGTCAAAACACAAATGTCCCAAAGAGTATGTGGCCTCAGAGTCCTCACAGAAGTGCTTGGTCTGCCCAGGGCCTGTCATAGGGACCCTGGGGCTGGCACTGTGAGCTTTCAACCCCACAGGATCAGTGCGCCTGCAAGTTGAGGCATCATTCCTGCTGTTTTGTGCCCAGCCTCTCAAAATGGAGAGTGTGACCTCCTTGACAGTTATACTGACTTTTAAATTCTGTTTTTCTCTTGGCAATAACAGTGAATTGGCTTTTTCATCAAGTCAGCGGAAGGTCATAGGGCCGCTGGCTGCCGTGGAGCTGTGACACAGCCGCCCTGTCTCTCCCTGGGCTTGTGTGGTGGTCTCTGACCTGAGATACGTCTGCTCGCCTCACACGAGCCCCCAGCAGACTCCTCAGCCGGGAGCCCAGCGGGTCCCTGAGGTCCTGAGGGACCCAGGTACCCCTGCTGAAGCCTCAGCCTCCGCCCAGAATAGCCCACGCACACACGCTGTCCGTGCAGTGCCTCAGTTCCATTTCCACCTTGGGGTTCAGGCTGAACACTTCCAGTGGTGGCAAAAGAAATCCTCTGTGGCGCTGACAGCCCCGTGTTAATAACTTGCTCTGAAAGTGGCCGTTATGAGCCGGGCCCCAGTGCCTCTTGTGTACCGTATTGACTTCCATAGTTACCCTTTTAGTTTACTGTGTTCTGTGAAAATTTGTAATTGGTTAAAAATCACTGTGGGCGTCCATTCTTATTCAACTAAATCTCCAGGTTTTTGAGCTGGTGTGGATTAGTTTAACTCTTGTATTCAACCATTAGTGCTACCACCTTCTCACATACAGTACAGTTACTGGAAGCAAGTACTGCATTTCCTATGCAACAAAAAGGAAAAATAAAAAGAATTGCTAATGCTATGCGAGCAGCGTCGTCATTGGGGGCGCGTGGCGCTGGGTGGCTGGGCGCTGGGGTCGCCCTCCCCCAGGTGAGCCGGCAGGGTCAGGCGTGTGGCAGCCCTCGCTCCCCATGTCCCAGGGGGCATCATCAGTGCACTACTGGGACAGGCACGGGACGTCATGCCCGCAGTGCCTTCCTCAGGCGCCAGCCTGCTTCCAGCACTGTGACAAACACCTAGCGTGAACCATCTTCGGGGAGGAGGGTTGCTTTGGCTTGCAGTTCCCGAGGGCTCGGTCTGGGCCAGCAGCTCCAAAGGGGGAGCCCCGAGGTGTAAGGAAGTGGTAGGAGAAGCTGCTCACGTCACGATGGCCAGGCGAGCAGAGGCGCCAGCACGACCTGCCCTTCCGCTCGCGCCAGTGACGTGGCCTCCAGCTCCGCCTTCTACAGCCCCCCAGCTGTCAGCTCATCAGTAGCTTTATGTGTTCACATGACCAGTGTCCCAGCACTCACCCAGAAACCTCCAGACACAGGACCCTTGGGGACACTTTGGATCTGGCTGTCACGCTGGAGGCCTGTTACTCTGAGTGCTTCATATGTTGTATCGTGGGGTCCCACCAGGATCAGGAACAGGGAACCCCAGGTTTTCTCATGGGACCTCCGATGTCACCTTGATATTATGATTGTAGGGGTCTGCCACCAGCCTGAGCCTGGGGAGCGGGAAGAAGTGTCTGGGCTGCTGCCCCTGAGGAAGGACAC